GATCAATGACTCTCTCATCATTGATGTTTCTCTCTCTCCCTCTCCTCTGACAGAATCAGTAAGGACATATTTTTTTTAAAAAATGCAAAGGAGGTTGATTTTGATTCTGAGGGCAAGGGAGAATTTTAAGGAAAGTGGTATCAGGATCATATCTGCATGTTGGAAAACTGGGAGAACAGATGATAGCAGGAAGAACAGGGGTTCATCCCTAGCCAGTTTGGCTCAGTGGTTAGAGCATCGGCCGGCGCTCTGAAAGGTCCCGGGTTCGATTCCAGTCAAGGGCATGTACTTTGGTTGCAGGCTCGATCCCAGCCCCGGTTGGAGAGAACAGGGGTTCATGTGGTAACCTGGATGAAAGAAGGAGCAGGAGGAACAGACAAGAGCATAGATTTGATGACTAATTAAACTCGGAGCCATGAGTGGAAAAGGTCAGAGGTGATCACACAGCCTAGACTAGTGCTTTGCACATAAGTGCTCAATTAATATTTATGAAAGAAATGAATAAATAAGTGATTGAATGAAAAAAAATGTACCAATGAATGAGAGGCAGAGAAAATTATTTTTAGAGATCTTTCAAGACAGAGCCATCCTTAGAAGTAATATAGACCAAGAAAAAAAAAATCTGAACTTGCTGGTTTATACGTTCCCTGAGTTTTTAAACAGGTGAAATCAAGATAAATTCAGGAGACACAAAGCAATATCAGAACCTCAAAGTGCTTTTGGTGTTTCTAATTTCCTAAGTGCTGCCTCCCTGTGTCTCTGCTCCCAACTTCCCTAAATCTCAGGCCTCTGGGCATGTCCCAGAATTTTCTACACTTCTGAAATAGTTCCTCCAAAGACAATCTAAAGTGTTCAAAGACTAATTAATTTGTCAAATATTTAATGAATGACTACTACAAGCTAGGCTATAACCTAGGGCTATAACCATAACAATAAACACTACCCCATCCCTCGGGGAGCAACTAGTCCCCTTGGGCATTTAAATTGGGTCACATATGTAAATGGTAAAATGTGGATTTTTCTCCATTTACTCATAAAGAAGTCTCTTTGACTGTAGACATTGGCCTCAGAAATAACCAGAGGCCTCTCATCATTGAAGGATATCATTTTCATAAGGTGACATCGCCACCTAGTGGTCCTAAACAACTTTACGGCTTGATCCAGGAAAATTTCTAGCTGTATTCCTGGGAATGACTCTCCACCATGGCCCCAGAACTTCTCTTCTATCAGGATAATCTAGGGGTTGATTCTCTAACATATAAGAGGTACCCTATATTTGTTAAATAAATGTATAAATAGACAGGCAAATTAATCTCATACCCTGGTGCCTTCTGGCAACTGAAAGAGAAAATTTATAAATTCCCAGATTCCTCTGGGCTCTGAAGGGCCTCTAATCAATTCTATAAAGGCCAGAGGTATTTCTGTCCTTAATTTAGCAAAAAATTCCTTTAGGTGCATTTGGATAAGCTCAATTTTTTTTCAAGGTTACTGCTGCCATGGATGAAACCCTGACTCTCTGCCGCCTAAGGCGTTCTGTAACCCAAAACCAATGAAGAACACGTGTTACCCCAGATGCCAGGACCAATACTAAGACAAGAGATGGCTGGCAAGGAGGAGGTGTGAACACAGAATATCCGAAGGCACTTTCACTGACTCTGCTTCTACACATAGGTCAAGCTGGGCCAGATGTCATTGGGAAATATGCTCAGAAAACCATGGTGCCCCAAACAAAGGGGCCTATTCCTAGTAAAGATCACAAAGCAAGCAGAAAAGAAAAGCCACCAGACTAGTTTCTCAGGAATATAAGGCTCCTGGGACAATATGCCAACAGGCTGCCTCAAGTCCTCTTGTCTGCTCAAGTGCACAAAGGGGCCTCCACGTGACCCTGGCTGGGGCCCCCTAGCTCTTAGGCCTTAATTCTCCTGACTGCTTTGGCCCAGAGGATGGAGCAATGGCACCTGAACAGTTACCTGGCTCCTCCTCCCTCAGAATATTGGGAGGCTGAAGGAAAGGGTTAATGAGGGCTCCCCTCCATTATTTTCCACGTGGCCTCATCCTCTCTTTCCAGCTAAGACTGTCAGCTGCATTAAAGAGAGGGAATCAGAGAGGCACTGGAGCACAGTGCATGAGAAGATCAGGGGCCCAGTTTCTAAGCCCCACCCTTTGACAGCTGGCCTTTGACTTGTGGCAAATGACTTAACCTCGCCAGCAAGGCCACTAGGTACTGCTGTGAAGGCTGTGGACCAACTCTAGGGGTGTAATCACTGTACATTTATACACTCCCAGATAATTTTTCAGTAGTTGGTAGAAAAGGGGGCCTTTTTCTAATTCACTCAAAGGCCCCAGTGGGTCATCACCAGCCCTGCATTCTGAGCCTCGGTTTCCTAATCTATAAAATGAGGACAACCCCTATTTATCTATAGGCTTGGCCAGAGAACCATCCAAAATAGTGGATGTAACGCACCTTGAAAACTGTAATGTGGCATGTAGATTATATTTCCCTAAAGTCTGTTTGTGATTATCCAAATTTGAGGGATTGGTATAAGAGAGGTGGAACAAGTTTCAGCCTACTAATGTCTTATCTCCCTTTGAAAACAGAAGCAAAGGCCAGTGGTCAGACGGCAAATATCTTCTCACTCAAAATATGTCATGATTCAAAAGGTAACTTTGTCCTCATCAACAGGACTGAAAAGACTGTGCCAATTTCTGAGAAATGGGGTTTGCTCGGGTGGTCAGGTCTAAGAGTAGGCTACGGAAAAGTGGAAAAAGTTGTAAATTTTTAAATTCCCACAAAAATCGTTCTGCAATGTAATAATGTACATTTGACAAATATTATTTTCAGGAAAACAGCCCACATAATGCCTCCTGGATTCCTCTCACCATGAAGATCCAGCTAAATATAGTTCAATCTAGTAACACAAATGACGTCATATAATTTGATTTGGCTTGGAAACGAGAAGGAATGGGTAGGCAGCAGTTTGAACTTTCTAATTCGGTCTGTTTTGAGACAATGTTAAAAAGGAGTTGAACATTTAATCTGCCTTTCTTGCATGAACTGTACTTAGGGTGACCAAATAACTGATGAGGGATAAGTTTCTTTTTATAAAAAGCTCGTAGGCCCAGCCCAGAGTTCCAATTCTGGCATAACAGTATAAGGAGCTTCATGGACTGCTCTCCAGTGTTTTTAATTTTTTAAGTCTCTAGAAATGACCCTAAGAACATCCAGCAAATGAAGAAATATTTGTTCAAAAAGCTCTACAAAAGCTCCATAAGAACGTCAAGAATCTATGATATGTGCTCTCCCTTTCCCAAGTTCAGAGAGACCGAAACTCTACTCCAGGCTGTTGCAGCCCAAGAACACAGTGCTCCCTCACCCCTCAATGCCAAGTCAGAGGGCTGTCTTCTGGGAAGGGACAGGATGTCATCATTTCTCATCCTGCCACCAGTTACCTGCTGCTGAGGCTCAGTTTCTGCAAGTACAACCGAAAGGGACTCTCTTCTTCCACCCAGCCCCCACTTGTGGGAAGGAGGCTTGACCTTGAGTGCAGAGCCACTGAGAATACTGGGGCCCTGACTGCCCTTGCCCAGGCTCATGGGACATAGGGCTGAGCTCTTATTGGGTACATGAGAATTTCATTATATTATTCTCTTTACTTTCATGTAATTTTGAAATTTTTTATATTAAAAAATTGAAGGAGCCCTGGCCACTCTGGGTCAGTCGGTTGAGCACCGTCCTTTGCACATAGAGGTTGCCAGTTTGATTCCTGGTCAGGGCACATGACAGGTTTCCAGCTCAATTCCTGGTAGGGGGTTTGCAGGAGGCAGCCAATCTATGTTTCTCTCTCATTGATGTTTCTATTTCTCTCTCCCTCTCCCTTCTTCTCTCTCTAAAATTAATTTTAAAAACATGTTTTTAAAAAAAGAAAGAAAAAAGTTGAAGGACAAAACTAAGAAAAAAATCTTTCCAAAACTCAAATTCAAGCAATCCTGAGACTCTAAAATTCTGAGTCTTTATGATCAGGGAAATGTTCCTGCAGGTTCAGTACCTTAAAAACACAAGAATATTACACATAACACAACAAATATTATTGGATAATTATGTGGAAGCCATCCTCTAAAGAAACCATTTCCAGAGAAAGGGGAAAAGCTAGGAGCACAGCAGGGGTTCCCTCAGGTCAAATTCATCTTCCTACAACTGGAAACCTTTCAGAGCTTCAGAGAGGAGATAAAAGTGACCCAGAAAACAGATGCCAGAAATATCTCTCCCCCCTCCCAGAAACAGAGAATGAGTCTTTTGATTAAGCAGCAGCTACATTTAATCACCAAATTATTCTGGCCCTAATGGAAGAGAAACAATCCAAGTTTAAAAGAGGTAGGGCTCGTTCTCCCTCACTTATTTTAGAGGCAAGTAAAGGTGAATAAAGAAAACAGAATCCCTAAGCTCAGGTTCTGCTAAAGAATCCATGGAGGAGAAGTCCCCTCTCCTCCCAGCCCTATGCCCAAGGTCACTGTCCTCAGGTTTCCAAGCATCCTGCTATGGAATAGGCTGCCCTGTGACGCCTTCTGCTAGGCCTCCAGAGGCTCTTCTCTCTGCGGCCCAGAGAGGTGGCTCTCATCCTCATAATCAGTGGACTGCAGAATCCTCAGCAGTTTGAGCTCAGGGTTCCAGCTTGTGCTAGACGTACTCGCTGAAAGGTCGTTTGGGGTCCTCTCTTGGGCTTGCGGCACAACCTCCATCTGAGTACTAATGTTTTTGTTAGTGGGTTCTGTCTTGGATAATTTAGGATCTAAAAGAAGACACAGCCATTAATTGTACCTGTAGCCTTCTCCAATTAACTGTGACAAATGGAGGACAGAAAAGGAAGGGCTGGGGTATCTTCAGGACCCTTCTGAGGAACGAGGACTGTGTCATCCAGGGAGGTGAACCATCCTGGTCAACACAGGCTCAGTTCTCCCTGTCCTCAGTCACTTCCTAAGGTTCCTCCACCCTAGTAACTTACTCTGCTCACTGGGGGAGGAGTCCAGGTAGTTCTCAGCATAGTCCATCTGCGGTCTCTCTGTGGAATCCTGAAATTCATTGGAGTAAGTGTAAGGAAACTTGAAACTTTAGGAAACAAAGGATTTTTCTAAATGATGTTTTTCTTGGGGAAATTAACATCTAGACCAACTCCCACCCCCTGAGACTGAAGAGGGAAGCTTGTGCAATATCATACTTTCTTTGCCCTCCGGGCTGACCAGGTGAAGCCAGAACCCACTTTCCCCATTCCCACCTCCAAGGTGGCTGTCAACAATCCCTCCCATTCCTGTATGCACATACTGTCCCTTCTATCAAGAGAGGAAGTAGATTTCCCCTCCTCTTGAATCGCTACACTTGCGATTTTTTGACCAATAAAATAGGGCAGAAGTAACGCTGTTCCAGTTCCTGGCCATCCCTTAACAAGTGCTTGCATGATATTACTATGCTGTCAAGAAGCCCAAAGTGGCCACGTGTAGAGAACTCATTAGCAGAACCAAGGCAATTTGGCCAACAGTCCCAGCCCAGCCTCCAGCTGAATGTGGCTCCATGAGTGACATCAAGCAAGACTGGGCACACTATCCAGTCCACCCACAGAATCATGAGAAATAACAGACCACTATGGTTTCAGCTTTGGGTGGTTTGTTAGACAGTAACAGATAACTGAAACAGGGCCCTAGCAGAACGGCCCTTGGACACTCTTACCTGTTTCAAGGTGGGGCCATTGTTCTTCATCTGTTGCTGCTTTTTGTCACTTTCCTGACCTGGTTGAGTTCTGTGACCTAGTGACCACAAAGTTACCTCAGTTCTCTTCTTATCTGTATTCATATCCTATTGTTGGGCCACTAGTTGACCCCCTAGTCTACAAGTGACTCTCTATCCAGGACAAAACAGGACCTTAGAGGCAGCTAAAAGGGAGTTAGGCCTTCTGAGTTCTATCTGTGATTCTGGTCACTGGTGACTGCGCCCAAATCTATTACAGAGCTAGAGATTAAGGTAAAGTGTGTGCTGAAAGACCCAGGATTCGCTCAAGAAACCTAAGGGACAGCTACCTGCACAGCATAGCAGCAAAAGAAGCCCTAACTCTACCTTTTCAGTTTATGAATATTCCTCTGACCTTCTTGCACCATACCTAACATAACCATATTGGTTTCTGAAAACGAAACCCCTTCGCCCAAAAAGCTCTAGTTCCAGAATAATTCTTTTGCATCAGTTTTATCCCCGGCTAGTCCTGAAATGCACTGATTCTTTCCACTCTCAGCCTCCATTTCTCTAAACGAACATCTTCCAAGCTACCACCAGAGGTATTACACTAAAAGGCAAAGCCAGTCAAGGAACTCCTTTGCTCGGCACTTCTACTGGCTCCCTACCAGCACTCGTTCCCACAATGGCTGCACACTAAAACACTGGAGAGTTCTCAAAAACACTGAGGCCTGGGTGCCAACACCAGAAACCCTGATGTAATAGGTCTCGGGTGCAGCCCAGGAATTAGGGCTTTAAAAGCTCAGTGGGCAGTCAAGGTGTAGCACCACTGACCTGGATGATAAAGGCCAAAGTCTCAGCAAGCTACAAGCCCCTGCCCACCCCTCTCCCTTAAATACGCAACCCATAGCCGCAGTGCGCAGCTCAGCGTCCCGAGCAGCATGCTGCTCCAAGATAACTTTGTGTGGGCTGTTCCCACTTCCAGGAATTCTCTTCCATGTCAGGAATACTCTCACACGTGCCCAAGATCCAATGCAAACATCGTCTCTTCCATAAGGCCTTTCTCAACTCAGTGAGGACAGGCCACTGCTCTAAGCACATGATTCAAAGGGGCACCCGTCAGCCAAGCAAAACTGCTCCTATTAAAGGCATCAGGAAGAGGAACTAAAGGCCCCAGAGTGGAATTCGAGGGAGCGTGGATCACCCTGGACGGGGGCTAACCTTGGACAAGTCACCTCCTGCCCTGAGCCATAGCTCTGGTCTGTCTACCTCCCATGTAAAGGTGAGGAGCCTTCTTAGATCTTCGATCCAGAGGACACCGTTGGTATCAGAGAGCTCAGTGGGACAGGAAATGAACCAAGAGAGCAAGCAGCTTCCTTGCCAGTAGACACCTCATTGGAGCCCTCCCAGCACCCCAGAGTTGGAGAGTGAATTCTGATGACTAAACAGTCAGCAGTGTCCAGTCTAAGTAGGGCAGAGCTTTAGGGGGATTCTTTCTCTGTCCTTCCCTCCCCTTCTGCACTCAAGCTGAGAAATGTCAGTCAGAGGGACAGGGGTGTTTCCTTCAGCTCAGACATGGTAAGAACTCCAAAAAAGTCGAGATAGCATTCCTATCTCCAGCATGAACACCGGAGGAAAAACATCACCTGTCTAGAATTTGCCACCTGCTCCTAGATGGGCCTAGGTAATGTGTTCATCTCAACCTGAGGCTGCAGAGACTAAGCTGTGGCAGAGCTCTCTTGGGGCTTCAGGGAGGGCCCCGACCTCTGCCTCGGTGGCCAGTGGGCCTCAGTAACGTGGGTTTGCTCATCCCCCGCAAACTACTCTGCTGTTTCTGAAGTAGGACCTACAGGGCAATGGCCCTGCCTCCTTGTGGTCCCTCTCAGATCCCACATGGAGCAGACACCCGGCCCAGCGCGCTTGTATATAAATATCTGAAGGAAGGGCGACGGCCAAGCCAAAGGGTCCCAGGGAGAATTCTGAGGGCCCGACAAGGCAGGTCCCCAAATGACAAACACTTTCAGCTTCTCCTGCCCGCAGCCCATATTCTCCTTACCATAGCATGGGTCACAAACCACGGCACCAAAATGTTTACCTGAAGTGCTCTGGTTCCCTGGGTCACTCCTGGGTTTCTTTTTAGTCTCCTGAAACCCACATGAGGAAGAACTGAATTAGGACTTCGGCAGTGAAGAAAATTTTTCAAAAAGTCTAAAAGAAGGAAGTTAATATCTGCAACCAAATAGGAGCTTTGTATGCATAATAGACGGAGGACAGGGAGAATGCCACCCCTCATACATCCCTTCCCACTGCAGGCTGCGCCCACTTGTCGTGGTCCCAGCATGTCCTAGGCGTCCCCTCACTGCCGCTCTACCTGTTTCCTAGCAGGCATCTTCAGCTTCCTCTGCTGCTGCCTCTGCTGCTGGCGCTGCCTCCCACGGCCTGGTAACCAGAGAACCGGCTGGATCCTCCCCTCCCCTGGGCTGCCTGCCGTGCCCTGCTCCACCACGGTGACACTCTCTCTCTCTAGTCAGGACCAAGCCAGGGCAGGGGTGGTGGTGGTGGCTGCTTCTTGAAACTGCAGTTTCCTGAGTTCTACATGTGACCCCGTATGACTGTGGCCACAATGTAACTAAATTTGGACCAAGATCAAGTATGAGAATTGTGGGCTAAGGGGGAATGGTACCTAGAGATCTGGCGGCAGCAGAGAACTTACCTTCTGTCTTCAGGCTATAATATAATTTCCTCCAATGTGCAGGATATCTCAACGTTGGTCTCTGGAGAAAAAAAGAAAAATGTAGATCTTTTACTTTCCCCAAAGGTATCCCCCAAATTCATTCATCCATCTGGTCAACACACCTTCTGAGAACCCAGTGTGTGCAGCATAGTACCAGGGGCCCTGGAGATGAGAAAGGTGTAGGAAACAAATGCAGAAGAAATAGAAAACATTGCTCTGCAGAGCCTTCCCCATACACTTGCTTTCGTTACATACAGCACAGTCCTTCTGTGGGGCTTGGGTCCAGAGTGGAAAGATAGGAGAGAAAGAAGAAATAGAAAGTCAACAGTTCTAGCCTTGAGGGGACGAGTTTGGATTTGCACTCAGACGTCTTGCTCTGAGGCTCCCTGAGTCTTACTTGCAGGGTGAGGCGGTGAACAGACAGAAACATCTGAGCAGAAATGGCACTGTCAGGCCGGCTCTTTTCTAGAGGAGGTTTCTTTTTCATCATGGCCAATTGTGTCTTCATCTCCAGACAAGGTGTGGTTTTCCCTTCATCTGACAAAAGCCTGAAGGGGACAGAGCCAGCCAGCCAATCAGCAACAGCTCTTCTTGGAGAGTGCAGCTGAGCAGAAACATAAAAAGGGCTCCAAATGTGAAGAAATGTCCACTTGGGGCTTAAAAGGCCTATACCAGCAGACACTCATTCATTAACGGCTTCCAGATGCAGCTATGATTATAGCTGCATGGCGTACGGCTTTACTATTTGTCAGGCTCGCATGCTTTATACTAGTGAATCCTTACAACACCCCAGGACAGATATTATTGTCCCCATTTTGCAAATGAGGAAAATGAAACTTAAAAAGGCTAAATAAATTACCAAAATTCACAAAGCCAGTAAGTTTAGATACAACATGCAAAGGCTGTCTCACTCCAAACCACACATCCATCTGCCTCCCACTTACCCATAACTCATTATAAAAAGAGGAGTGACTGAGTCTACCTCCTAGTGGCGACCTAAACGAGAGAACATATGTAATGTGCTTACTGGGCACAGGGCCTGGCGGGTGGCAAGTACTCGATAAACGGTGGTGAGCACGTCACCACTGAGCACTGGTACGTCTAAGAGCGCAGTGAACAAGTCGGGTGATGTTCTCTCCCCTCCCTACTCAGGAAGGGCGCTGCTAAGACCCTTCCCAGCTTCAGAGAAAAGCAGGTGCTCTGGCTCTCCACAGGCTTCCAGGACACTTACTCATTCAGTAGGTCCGGAGGTAGCGAGTCAGGTTGGTTCCAGGTAGGTAGGAGCTCTGGACTTAGTGGCTCAAACCAGTGTACCGGGGAGGAGGGAGGCACATTTATCCCTGAAGTTCTCAACTGTGTTTCTATGTCCTGCTTTCCAGGGAGAACCAGAGATGACTTGTCCTTCTGGAAGGGAAACACGGAAAGAGCTCCCACTTCTTCCCACCCACGCTCCAGCTTCCCAGCACAACCCGGCACATGAAACTCCTTAGCAGACCCAGTCCAGCAGCGCCCCCAGTCAGCACTATGAGGGCCGCCGTACTCTTCTCTCTCTGGCTCCCCAACCCTACTAGTGAATTCAGATCATACGGGGATTGTTTTGCTTGGTTTTCCCCCCAAAAGGTTATTCATTTATTCACTGAACAAAATGAACAACTATTTATCGGCAAACTGTGTGCAGGCACAGGGCTAGGGCTGGGATTCAGCAATGAACAAAATGGACCGAGACACTGTTCTCATGAATGTAGCAACCTCCCAGCTCTGTGACTCTTCAAGGCTGCATTTACCCGACAAGCAATAGAATTAGAAGTGGAAGCCCCGGTCCATTTTAACTCCCAGTCCCCTGAGTACCCAGCAGTCCTCCTAACAGCTCTTCAAGGTGCTCTTCACCTTCCTGCAGGGAGCAGGAAGGGAAGACGAGTCTCTGAGCACAAAATGACTTGGTAATTATTTCTTAAGAGGAGTTTTCTCTTGCAAATGCTATTTATTTAAAGGAACAGGGGAAGGAGGGAGCTATCCGAAAGGAAAACTAGAATAAACTCTACGGGGCACTATTACAAGGCTTGGGCCAAAACAGCGAACTTACCCCTGCAGGTGTCTTCCTTCTCTTCCTCCGGCCCTGGCTGCGAGCCGTATACTGCTCAGCTGGACTTGGAGTAAAATAACCAAAACTTACTTTGGGGCATCTCAAACAAGAGCACCAAGGACATTTGTGAATGATGACTATGAAGGTTTCTGTCCTCTAGCCAGTACTCAAGGGGGGCCGGTCAGGGGCCCAGCCATACCTGCTGATCAGAAACCGCTAAAAAAAAGACCTCTACCTCACATCTAACTTAGGTTTCCCACCATTCTCTCATACAATCCGCTTATTTACTTTCACAGCATTAATCCCAGCATTAAAGTTAGCAATTACATACGTAGCTGTGGTGATGTTTGTAATGTCCGAATCCCCACCACCCTGAGCCTGCAGGACAGTGGCGAAGTCTATCTGGTTCTCCACTGAATTCTCACTGCTTAACATGAGGAGGTGCTCAAGTATTTCTGCTCTGTCACCTTCCTGCTCCTTCTCACCTGGAACATGGATATGCTGGCTGGGGCCCCAGCAGTCACTTAGACCTTCAAATCTCCCATGAAGCAGGGCTGGGGACGATCACCTAGAAAGCTAGAAGGAACTCTGGCTTCTGATTACCTCATGGACCTGGTATACTAACCCTGTCCCACCTACATCTGGGCTGCTTTTGTATGAAAGGAAATGAGACCTTAGGTTTTTTTATTTGTTTACACCATACACACACACACACACACGAAGAATGCACATATAAAGAAGCATTTACAGGATCATTTTTTAAAAGAGAAAATGAAATAAAAAGAAATTCTTAAGTTTCAACATCTCTATAAACAGTCACTTAACATTAATCTAAAAGCCTCAGTAGTCACGAAAGAAAACCACTTTCTTCCAGAGGTTGTCAATATTAGCTAGCCTTCGGGCCTTTGCCAAGTGATCTTTGCCACATTCTGCTTTGTACACAAGTTCTATATGCTACTCCTTTTGTGTCCCTACACTAGGCCTTGGGGTTGAGACCAAAGATTCACATGCTTCACTGAAAACTTTTTCACTAGCTGCTGATGGCTAGTAAGAAAAACTAATATTCAGAAAGCATTTGTTTCTTTTTCTTCTTTAATCCTTACCCGAGGATATGCTTTTCATTGATTTGAGAGAGGAAGGGGGGGAGGGGGGGAGAGAGAGAGAGAAAGAGAGAGAGAGAGATTTCAGGTGGTGTTTCTGCCTTATCTAACAAAGACACCCAGCCCTGCTGAATTAGGGCCCCACCCTTATAACCTCATTTAACTTTAATTAGNATTGGGTTGCCTCCCCTACATGGCCCAACCAGGGACTGAAACCGTCACCTTTTGGTGTATGGGACAACCAACTGAGCAACACTGGCCAAGGTAAGCATTTGTTTCTTAATCAAACCTCACAAATACCCTGGGCCCTATCTTGTATGCTATTTACTGCTGCGTAGAATTTGATGTAGAGAAGTTCCAGGACACAAATGTCAAAGTGCATTAAAATAGAATTCCAGTGTAGGAAGAGGCAGATGCAAGAGACTATGACCTTCTCTGCTGGGCCTCCTGCTACTCATGGTGAGGTGGCTCAAAAGGAGATAAAAAGGAGGCCTGCAGAGAACAGGGGGGCTTTATAGAACGTAAGATCTGAAGACCCCCTAAGTTCTAGACATGATACTCACCCCACATACTCCTCTGATTCTTTTGGGATCCAGATTACAACCATATTTCCAACATCTTGAGGGCAAGGAAGTTGGGTCTCATTCAAATTTAGCACAGGAAGCTAAAGGAAAAATATAAAGCCTATGTATTGCTGAAAGGTACTAGCTCCTGACGGTACTCAGTACCAGACCAAGGACTAAATTATCATGCTAACCAAAAGGGTACAGTGGCTCACAGGATAATAAAAAGACATTCTCGCCTGGCCAGCTTGGCTCAGCGGCTGAGCATCGACCTGGGATCCAGGAGATCAAGATTCGATTCCCAGTCAGGGCACATGCCTGGGTTGCGGGCTGGCTCCCCAGTAGGGGGCGTGCAGGAGGCAGCCGATCAATGACTCTCTCACCATTGATGTTTCTATCTTTCTCTCTTCCTCTCCCTTCCTCTCTCTGAAATCAATAAAAACATATTTTTTTAAAAAAACAAGGCCTCTCCCATCCCTAAAACATCTTCCTAATATTCCCCCAAGAAACCAGGTATCAGTGAGCATTTATAAGTACTGGAAGAGTGAGCATTTATAAGTAAATAGTCTCCCCTGCTTCCCTGTGACATCAGGGTGGCATTTAGCAACTCCCAACCCCATCCCATACAAGGGTACCTTGGCGCTCACCTAAGGGGACACTACTCATTCTGGCTACTCCACTCCAAAGACTTAGATCCCCTGGAGATACAACAATACAGTGTGGGAGCAGTGAGGGAACTGATAGGGACAGAAGCAAGTTTTCTACTTTTACAGCCTGTCTACAATTATAGGCATTATATAAAAGGTAAGTCTTCACTCTTTTCACATTCAGCTGCTTCAGATACTAGAACACTGGTGCTCAAGGAAACCTTATAAGTCATCTAGTCCAGATCCCTAGTAGAAAAAGGGGGTTAGTTAAAAGTAAGGTTGTCCTCATGAAAAGGAACTGGGTGGCTTGGGGGACCAGGGGAGGCTTCTTTGTACTGTAAGCCCTTTTCTGCCTTTTAATTAATCTAAAACTAGTTTAATTTAACCCTTTTGTTCTGAAGTGGTCAAAGAGGTAAGTGCTTTGTTCATTCATCCATTCAAACCTATCTACTCTCTCTTAGTTTCTTACGCTCTCTACTCCATGACACTGCAAGTGAAGTATCTCGTGAAAAAAATAAAAGGCATCAATAGGACTGCAAAGAATAGCAAATCTCTCCTATTGTAGATAAGTAGAAGGGTTTCTCTTCCAAAACTTGTTTTTTTAATATATTTTTATTGATTTCAGAGAGAGGAAAGGAGAGGGAGAGAGAGAGATAGAAACATCAATGATGAGAGAGTCATTGATCGGCTGCCTCCCGCACACCCCCAACTGGGGATCGAGCCCACAACCCGGGCATGTGCCCTGACCGGGAATCGAACCCCAATCGCCTGGATCCTAAGTCGATGCTCAACTGCTGAGCCACACCCGGCCAGGGCCCAAAACTCGTTTAATTAGGTCTTCCCCTAACTAGCTATGTGCTTTAGCAAATCACTTCCTATGTGGGCCTCAGTTTCCTCAACTATAAAATATATGAGATAGACCACATTAATGTTCTTCAAACTGTAATTGAAACTTATTCATAGATCATCGAATCAAATTGAGTGAATTGCAGCCTACATTGTTTAAAAATGAATTAGGACAGAAAATACCAAGAGTACATCACCCTTAGTTAGGGTAAGGATTGTTCCATGATATTTTTGTTGTAAAATGTATTTCTTATTGTAGGTTGTAGCTAAAAATGTTTGAAAGTCATCAGAGTAGATGATCTTAAGGCCCAATTTCGGTCTGCCATTCCAGCATTCCAATTTCCCTGTATTATGAGATGACAGTGTTTACTTAGTAGCTGAACACATTCTATACAGGATAGAGACAAAATCCTCACCTGTGCCACACTGCCACAAATCAAACCCACTTGTGTCTGGGATTTCTGGAAACAGTATAGCAATGTAAAGCCATTGGCACAGAGCCTAGTATATAGTAAGGGCCCAATGTTCGATAGTTATCAGCATGATCACCATCATTACTCAGATTGCAGTCAGCCCAAGGAACCATGCTAAATGAAGGCAAATATTTTATTCCCATTAGTAAAGAGAAGATGCAGAAGACGTACCTTTTTCCATCTGTGACTCGCTTTGGGAGATTTATTAGTACTGCTGATCCAATCTTTGTCAGGTAAGTCGTTGCAAGGCCTAAAAAATGAGTTTATGAACATGAGACAGAGACACGAAAGACTTCTTGGGAGGATCAAATTAGTGCTCTGAGGAAAAGCTTTCTACTTAGTTAAAGAAAGTCTTGCGCTGAATACTTACCGAATGAGTGTAGGGTGTCACCATCTCCTTAAGTTTTGTTTGTTTTTCCTAAAACAGCTCCCAACCAGACATTGAACATTGTCAACACTTTACAACTATTTGTTGGATGAAACTGAATACATAGCCTATGCCTCTCTCTCCAGCTACAGAGAGTTATATCACATTAATAAAAGTTTACTAAGTACCTTTGATGTAAATGTCCAAAAGCATGTTAAATAAACAAAATGTGGTATATACACACATAGGAATATTTTTTAAAGGAATGAAATTCTGATACATGCTACAGCACAGGTAAACCTTGAAAACACTATGCCAGATGAAATAAGCCAGATACAAAAGGAAAATATTGCATGATTTCACTTATATGAGGTGCCTAGAATAGGTAAATTCATAGAAAACATAATAGAGGTTATCGGGAGCTGGAGGGAGGAGGAAATGAGGAGCTATTGTTTAATGAGTATGGAATTCCTGTTTGAGATGGAAAAGTTCTAGAAATGGATAGTGGCGATGGTTGCACAGTACTGTGAGTGTACTTAATACTACTGAATTGTACACTTAAAAATGATTAACGTGGTAAATTTTATGTTGTGTATATCTACCACAATAAAAAAAATACTACCCTCTTACATTTTCATATCATGTTATTTTATTTTTAAAAAACATGTTAAATGTATAAATGAATAAATATTAAAATGTAAGATAAAGGCCCAATTCCTTAGCCTGATTTATAAAGTCCTACATGATAGAGGCCCCTGCTTTCTACTCCAGCTCCCCAGTCTTACCTCTGACCACTCTCCCCTTCCTGCTCTATGTTCCAAACACAGTGAACTTTTTTCCTGATACCTAAAGAGTTTCCTCTTGCCTTCTGGATTTTGCATATGCTATTTCTGTAGTCTAGAACTCTCTTCCTGTCCTCCTCCCACCTGCAACCCCCATTTCACTAAACTGCTCTAATGCTTCCACACACCTAGGGGGCACTCTTCTTACCACACTCACAATGAATGGTTCTTTGCCTCCCCAACTAGGCTGAAAGCCCCTCCAGGGTAAAGACTCTACCTAGTTCACCATTGTATCCCCAGTGCCCAGGAAAGTAGCCCCCACTGTGATATATCTGTGAATTCAACAAGTAACTAAACAAATGTTGCCATAGTCTTTGCCTTCATAGGCCTGATGGGGAGAAGCTGCTATTTTCCCAGGGTTTGAGTCCTAGAGAACCTAAAAGTAGTCCTAGCCTTTCCTATACTGTCTTTAGCCTAAGAAAAATCATCAAGGGCTGTTTAAATAGAAAAGGAGACAAGAAACCACTACAAGAGCACTAGTGCCTTGATTCCAAGCAACACATTTTAAACGTCTGTTTTCCACAGATACCTTTCCCTTAGCTTCACACGTCAGCAAGCACTAATTGAGTACCTAAACTTTGTAGGATATTCAAAAGGAAAAGCCATTGCTTCTTCCTTCAGAAGCTTATAGCTTCATACCTAAAAATAAAAGATAAGACATGTATGTGTAGACAATTTTCTGATGACCCACAGAAGTTAATGAGATATTCCCTGATATCAGTTGAATTGTGTCCCCTAAAATTCATTTGTCAATGCCCTAACCCCCCAGTACCTCAGATTTTGACTGTATTTGGAGATAGGGTCTTTAAAAGATAATTAAGGTCAAATGAGGTCATAGGTGGGCCCTCAACCAATCTGACCGGTGTGCTTATAAGAAGAGATTAGGACACAGACACACTCAGAGGGAAGACCAAGCTAAGACACAGGGAGAAGATGGCTACCTACAAGCCAAGGAGAGAGGGCTCAGAAGAAAGCAGTTCTGCCAACCCCTTAATCTTGAATTTCTAGCCTCCAGAATGTTGAAAAGATAAATTTTTGTTGTTTAAGCCACCCAGTCTGTGGTACTGTATGCCGTATGTATGGCACCCTAGCAAACTAATACCCCCCCCCCCATTTTAACCAACTCCTAGAACACAAATAAGAATGCTCTCTTTTAGTTTCCCAGTGCCTATTTACCACGTCTTTATCCAAATTGGTGTTTCATTTTTAACCCAGTTTCCCAAAGTCTTCTAAAAGGATAAAGGAAGTCAATCCCAAATTTTGAGAGAGCAGGCTGTTAAAGAAAGAATCCATGATGCCTGGCTGGGCGTGGCTCAGCGGCTGAGCGTTGACCTAGGATCCAGGCAATCAGGGTTCGATTCCTGGTCAGGGAACATGCCTGGGTTGCGGGCTCAATCAATGACTTTCTCATCACTGATGTTTCTATCTCTCTTTCTCCCTCTCCTTTCCTCTCTCTGAAATCAATAAAGATATATTAAAAAAAAAAAAAAAGAAAGAAAGAAAGAAAGAAAGAATCCATGATAATTTACCTGCCTTGAAATTTGGAGTGAGACTTTGAACCCTGAGACAATAAAGAGCGAGGCTTAGTGATGGTAAGTCCTGGTAAACAACGATTAGGACATCTCTTGGCCTTGAAGCAGGAATCTGGGAGGTTTATAATGGTAAGCTCTGGGAGTTTATCTGAGAAAGCAGACAAGATAAAAACGTGTAACATGTCAAAAGGGAGCCAGACAGAAATATTTCAAAGATCTTGTAAGGAAGGAGATGGGCTGGTGAACTCACTGTTAACATCCAGAGGAGTTTTGCAGGGTGAGGCCAGGATTCGAGGGTGGCCCCTCTCAATCCGGCGGATAGCTGCCCAGCATTGTGGATGCTGACAAGCAGCCAAGTTGCAGGTGGTTTCGTCCCACAGGCTCTCATCTGGCAAGTCCATAGTTATAAATGGTTTAGGACAAAAGCCAACCTTGCAGCTTTCTAGCTCTCTGGAGAAACAACCACATAATTAGGGAATATTATACACTAGCCAGATCTTAATCTGGACTCAAAGCATAAAATATTTCTACTAAACCCCTGTAGGTAAATGGTGGTCATAGGATAATTAAGAATTAGGTAAAAAGCAAGTATGAAAATATATAGTGTGAAATAAAGTGACAAGAGTTTGGGAGCAGACTGACTTCAGGAGGTCCCCTAATTCACCATTAAAAGATTGGTTAATCTGAGCTTCAATTTCCTCATCTGCAAAATGAGGATAAGCCTATTTCACAAGGTCATTACAAAAATTAATGGATTTTAGAAGGTCTGGCATATAGTTCAGAATAAATATCAGCATCCTTTCCTTTGTCCTTTTATTAATCATTAGGAAGAAGATACCACCATATCCAAAAAGCCGTATCAAATTACAACGAACGTAAACTACAGAAGTGCTTTAGGTGGTCAAAACTTTGGAAGGCAGAAGACATGCTTCATTTTTCAGTCTGCTCCAATTCTCATATGAGCAGCTAAAACGTGCACCCGATATGAATGGGTTTGTTCAAACAGCAAATCAGCGGACTTGCAGTTGCATCAGAGGCCATTGGCTTTTCATTTACTGTCTGTATGGTCTCGGGCAAGTGACTTAACTTCTCTTAGCCTTGTTTCCTCCCATAAAGTAGCGGAGGGGAAATCCCAAAGTAGGATTGTAGAAGCATTTAAGTGAGAAAATGTACTTTTATGTGTGGTTCTATAACAGGCGTTCAATAAATATTATCACCTTTCTCTCTAGAAATGTTTGATGCAATCACAACCATCTGATCCATAATAACTTTGTAAGGATAGTGTCCATTTCTAATTTGTTTTATTCAACGCGTTTACTGACTACCAAATATGTGAGGGAACCTGTTACAAGCACGGAGAACGGTAATAACAAAATAAGTCCCTGTTCTTAAGGACTTTCGATTTAGATCAAAGGTAGCAAAATACTGTCCTAGGACTGCACCTGGTCTATGACTGGTTGTGTTTAGCCTGTACTTTGAGACACCATTTTAAGTGGAATTAGTTCATCCTGTCCAGATTTCAGTCTCCATTTAGAGATCAAAATATCTGACAATGGGGGGCGGGGGGGAGGGGGCGGATTCCAGCAGGACAGCAACTGACTGAAGCTGAGCATCTCCTGACATCTTTAAACCAGGTCTTTTCTATCCAAATGGAGAGTTCTCCTGACCATCCCAACTGCGCCCCGACGTCCAGTCTCGCCCATCTCTACGCTGCCCGGGCGGGCGCTGTGCCGGCAAAGTCACCGGCGTTGGAAAAGTCCAGCTAACAGTTATCCTTAACACGACCATTACCAGGCTGGGAGGGCTGTAATTATCAAGGATGGACTTCAGCTCCGGTAAGAGTTGAAAAACGATCCTCCGCCTCGTTCTGGAAAAGAGAAGCGGGAGAATCCGGCCCCGGAGGGCCGCCGTTCCGGGGAATCGAGGCGGAGGCCCCGCCGCTAGGAGGCCGAGGCCGTCGGGAGAACGTCGCTGCTCGCCGGGCGGGGAGGTCCACGGGCCCCTCCCGCCAGGCCCCGCCTCTCCTCCAAAGGAGCCCCGCCCACCGCCCTAGGCCTCTTCTACTTCCCCCAAGCAACGCGCCAGGCCGCGCCGTCGCTAGGCAGCAGCGCACAGCACTATGGGGAAGAAACGGAAGCCCCAGTGAGCCTAATTTCATTTGGTGAGAAACCCCCGGACCTGGTGGTGGCTTGAAGCAGATAAACGAGCTTGAGAAGGGACACGGGGTATGGGTGGAGCCGGAGGGACCCTCAAGCGGACCGAAACCATAGCGGCGTGGAAAGTTCGGGAGCACCGGCCACTGGAGGCGGAGGCGGGGCTCGTGGAGGAGGAGGGCGTAGCGCGCGGGGCAGTATGGGATACCGTGGGCAACGTGGGGCGGGACGGAAGCCTCGTCGGGTCAGACCGTGGCGACGCGGGAAGTCCGGACGCCGTAGCTGCCTGAGGCGGAGGCCTGAGGCGGAGGCCGGCCCCGGTGGCGGCGATGGCGGAGAGGCCCGAGGACCTGAACCTGCCCAATGCCGTTATCACTAGGATCATCAAGGAGGCGGTGAGGAGCTAGACAGACGGGTGGGCCAGGGGCGGACGAGCGGGCAGTGGGGGAAGCAGGACCTGGGCCGGCACCTTCGCTCACCCCCGCCTTTCTCACAGCTCCCGGACGGTGTCAACATCTCCAAGGAGGCCCGGAGCGCCATCTCCCGCGCCGCCAGCGTCTTCGTGCTGTACGCCACATCCTGGTGAGGCGGCAGAGCTAGCCGGAGCTGAGCTGGGGCCGCGGCTGGAGGGAGGCGCAGAGAGACCCCCTGGGTCGGAGTTCCTGGCTTGGAGCCCACAAACCCCAGTAACTCGCCCTACCCCGCGGAGTGTGCTTCACAGCCCTCAGCCGGTTTTTGCAAGTTCTGAAGCAAACGAAACAACAGACTAACTTTGCTTTAACCCCTTTGTACAGGGAAGGGGGGCTGTTACCATCACCAAAAATCCATGCATCTAAGACGTGGGCATCCCCATTCCAGCTCTGGGTGCTCCTTTGTCCACACACTTCATAGGCGGCAAGAGAGGGCCTGAGAGCCTCCGACGGCCCCTAATCTTTCTTCTTTTCCTGTTTCAGTGCCAACAACTTCGCGATGAAAGGGAAACGCAAGACTCTGAATGCCAGTGATGTGCTCTCAGCAATGGAAGAGATGGAGTTCCAGCGGTTCATTACCCCCTTAAAGGAAGCTCTGGAAGGTAATGACCCTTTTGTTTTCTCAGCCAAGTAGAAGATGTTCATCCTATTTGACCTGCTCACCTGGTCCTAAGTCCTTCTCAGTTTGCGTTCCTTTTAAGTCCAGTAAGCAAGTATTGGATGCGACTGAGAAACAGATCAGTCAGCACCACCTGAGGTCTGTTTTGTGATCCTGGACAGGTTCTTTTTCCTCTGCGCCTCAGCTTTTCCAGTTATGCCGTGAAATTAGCTGCTACGGGGCTTGGTTCAGCCCTGCCTCCTAACCCCTCCTTCCTCCTTCCAGCGTATAGGAGGGAGCAGAAGGGCAAGAAGGAAGCCTCAGAGCAGAAGAAGAAAGACAAAGACAGGAAAACGGATTCAGAAGAGCAAGACAAGAGTAGGGACGAGGACAATGACGAAGACGAGGAAAGGCTAGAAGAAGAAGAACAGAACGAAGAGGAGGAAGTGGACAACTGAATAGGGTGAGGAGACTGTGGCACCTGGGAAGGTACCACTCTGAAATGTGGTGCGGGTTTATGTGAAGCATTTTCCTACTGGGCAGGGCAGTCTTAGGCAGAAGAGCCTGAGAAGATGGAAACGAAAACTGGCTAGAAATATCAGAACCAGCGCTTCCCACGCTCAGAGCATCTGAGAAGCAGAATGCTGTTTTGCTTAATCAGTCTGAAGGTTATGACTTTCTGGCAAGAGGGATTCCAAACTGATAATTTGATCAGTCAGTTTGGCCTCGTTTACTTATATATATGATTAGGTACTTTTTGATTCCCAGTTCCCTCCCATCCCCACCAAAAATAACTTCCATGACACCTGCTGTGTTTCAGATCACAGGAGGCAGTCAAGGCTCAGGAAAAATTGGGGCTTAGGTCATGGTCAGCCTGTTCGTACAGTATTTGGCAATCCTAGCTTATTACAAGTGGACACAACTACTAAACGGCTGTGAGAACAATGAAATCTGTGCTCTCTTCACTTGACAGTAACATTAATTTAATTTTGGTTTCTACCCAAGCACTTGGCTTGGGGCCCGTCTATATTGCCTGGAGGATATTTGACCTATTGGCTGTTGGGGTGGCTGCACTCTGGGCACATAGGCTTTTAAATCCTTAATAATGAGTGAAATTAGTCAAGCAAGTGTGCCAATGTCTTACTCTTACAAAGCAGATGGCTTAGTCTTAGATGTACCTCACTGCCTGCTACTGCACAGCTTTAGAATCTGCACACCTCCTGGAAGGTATAAAATTCTAGGCTTTCTCTTGTAGTCCATCTCCCAGACTTGTGACTATGGTTTTTCATTCTTCCAACTTGTGACAAGTTCCAAACTTTATTTCTTCTAGGCATAACTTTCTCCTGTGCTTCTCCCTTCCTGCCTCTCCTCTGCTCTTCTCCCCCCATTCCCACTTTCTCCCTCCTCTTCTCACTCTGCCACTCCAGGAACTTTGATAACCTGCTTAATATCCTGAAATGAGGGTTCCTCTGATTTCTTAGTTATAACCTCATGTTTTTATTTTTTTTATTTTTTGTTGTTTTCTTTTTCTTTAATTTTTGTTGTTGTTTTTCTTTGCTTTCTAATCTCATGTCTTTAAAAAATGGTTTTGTAAACCTCTGTGAACCTTAAGGGAAATCTGGCGGTGCTCAGGAATCTAATTCCCCACCACCACCACCAACCATCCCCTTTAACTGCTTCTAAAGTACCTCTGTTGACCTTTCTTGGGTTTTTGTGTTGTTTTTTTTCTCTCCCTTTCCATTTAGTGCTCCAAGCACTTTTTTGCTTGTCTCTAAGGCAGTTGACAGGTAGTGAAATGTAGTTTGACACTGTTAATTTGTTAAATTAATACAGTGAAAAATTTGTTGATAAATGAGTGAAGAATGTTGAGAAAATTATAGTGCTTTGTACAAATAAAGAACTTTCTTGTTAAAAGTGATGAGTCCTGTTTCATCCTGCCTGTTTGTAGTATGCTTTTGGAGAATACCTACTGATCGTGCCTTACACAGTTTTGGGGCTGTGGACTAGGCCAGTCCTTTGTAAGTATGGGACTCTGCACCACCTTGAATGACCAGCAGATGCTGCTCGTTCACAGGCAAGGGAGCTGCTCCTCAGCCACAGCAAGAGCTTCCCATGGCTCTGCTGGACACCCTGTAGTACTAGAAGCTTAACTCCAAACATTTACTGAGTTCCTGCTGTGTGTCTGATGTCGTATTACCTAATCTACATAACTTTCTCAAATCATGAATTTATAAGTAACATTTCACGAAGAAACCATCTCAAAAGTCATTAGATCCCATGGGTTTTTTTCCTTCTCCACAGTAGAAATATCATTTATTCCCATGAGCATCACTTGGCTAAGCCCTCAAGTCCCATCTGGACTCCTGTGGCTTCCTTTGAGCTCAATTTCCTGCCTCATCTCAGCTTCCTCTAGTTTCCCCTGTATACTGTTTGCCAAGTGAATCTTCCTGGAACACTGCAGTTACCATCACTGTTTCCTATTAAATCAAATCCATACTTAAACCTGTTATCCAAAGCCTGCTTAAAGAAGGCTCACCTTACCATCTATGCTAATCTGCTTCTACTCCAACATAAGGCTGTAGTCAAGAATGAATCTCCAAAAGAACCCTCTTCCACATGACTTTAGTTCTTACCAAACTTTATCTAAGAAGAGTCATGTCTCCTGAGAGTGGGGATTATGCCTTAAAACTACAGAATTTAAGAACTGGGAAGACTGTTTGAGGTAATCCATCAGTTTTTCTCACCTCTGTCATTCCTGTAGTGGTATCTAGGATAAGGTGATGTTTCCCATCTTTTTTTAACCACAGCCCTTCATGACTAGAAATTCTGATCTGGATTTGGAGGGTGAGAGGGTTACCATCCTTACCCATGCAAAATTACTTCTGCAGCCTAATTTATTTTTGCTGATGGGAAACAGGCTCATCTGAGAGAAGTGGCTTGCTCAAGATCTTACCACTAATTTATGAAAGCTGGGACCCCCACAGCCTTTTTTTTTTTAAACTTTATTTTGGAACAATTTTGTATTTACACAAAAATTGCAGAGTACAGAGAGTTCCCATATAACCATCATCCAACTTCCCCACATGTTAACATCTTACATAACCATGGTACATTTGTGGAAACTAAGAAGAAACTGTCAATTAAGTTGGCCAAACTATTTTGTATTTCATCCATTTTTCCACTAACACCCTTTTTCTGCTCCAGGATCCAAACAGAATACCACATTGTATTTGGTGAACCAATTTTCTTTTTTTTTAACCCTCACCTGAGGATACAGTATTTTTTTGTTTTGTTTTGTTTTGATTGATTTTAGAGAGTACGGGAGAGGGAGAGAGAGAAACATTGATGTCAGAGAGACACATCAATCTGTTGCATACGCACCCGGACCAGGAATCAAACCCGTGACCCCTCGGTGCACAGGATAATGCTCCAACCAACTGAGCCACACTGGCCAGGACACCGATTTTCTTTTTTAATTGAGATGAAATTCGCAGAACATAAAATTAATCCTTTTTAAATGAGCAATTCAGTGGCATTTAGCACATTTACAATAGCGTGCAACCACTTCTATCTAGTTCCAAACGTTTTCATCACCCCAAAATAAAATCCCGCACCTGATAAGCAGTTACTCCCCATGTTTTCTTCCCCCAGCCCTTGGCAACCACTAATCTCTATTTCTTATGCTCTTTACAGCATTTAGCACAAAGCCACGTGCCTTCCTCGGAGGCACAATAGTTTAGTGGGGTTTTGGGGGAGGGGGTTGTGGGTGGGGT